ATTCATCGGCGTCAATAGGTATACATTAAGGACTTCTATGCTGACGGATATAGACCTTTAAAAACATTTATTGCCCCCCCCCAAAAAAAAAAAAGCTCTACACAATATATTGATGTATGTACTCTAAAAGCTAGATTTCTTCTATTTCAGAGTGAGAGAGGAAGTTCTATAGGTTGTAACTCTGGGATTTGTCAGCTCAGTGAACCAACTGACTCACTGGGACAAACTTGTGCAGTAGGCCAAGAGAATAGAAGCAAGTTGGGCATGTTACACATTCATGGAATGATATTACTGTACTGTAACAATAACACACACACACTGACTCGCGTATATAGAGAGAGACCGAGACCTTTGGAAAACTTTTCCCTTCCACCTTGAACAATTGCAAAATGAGGTTCTAGATAAATACCTCACATGTACAGAATATGATTACATTCCACGGGGAGTTAGCCTGGGGGATTTGCACAATAGAGCAAAAAGTATTCATTGAGAAAATATGAATGACAACATTGAAGCTGCATGAAGTTATTTGGGACCACAAGGAATCTTAACACAAACACTCATCAGTACAGTTGAGTCAGCTGATCTCTAATAATGGATATGGGCACGTGGGTTTGTGGGCGCTGGATAAGATTTTGGTTACTTTAATTTTCCTGGTTTCTGTTTCCAGTAGTTGTACTTTTGAGCAGACTTTGGTTGCATGTTGTTAACAGTCCATTTGTCTAAATGCAATCTCAGAACCATCAGCTTACATCTAAGGTCATAAACCTGCTGCGTCTGCTGTCATAGACATATGTGCCGGCTGCATCGAAAGTCCCAAAATGTTGTCCAATGTCCACACTGCCTTCCTCAGACAACACCCAGACTGCGATTCAGTAAACAGTTGTCTGCTAATTTGTCATTTGTCATTATCTTACCATCTATCAGAATAGAAATTGTTTTAACTGCTTTATTATTCTTGCTATTATTCAAAAATATACTGAAAGAAGTCGGTAACACTGAACAAATTCAGGATGTTTTTTTGCTCAGAATGGTCTTTTATGATTTTATGAGCGTGACTATGTGCAGTTAGTCCCCATAAAAGAAAAGAAGTGTCAGTCTTACATTGTGGATCAGAAATCTATGCAATTTTTTGTCATTTAAAGCTATTTGAAAAACACGTTTTCATTCGTTATGCCTGAGTAAATCCTAATGTAAAAAAAAAGGTGGAAATCTGAATCACTGACTAAACATAATGTGCTCGTTTGAGTTCATGTTGTTTGTGCAACTGATCCCAGTATGACAATCAATTAAAACTAAACAGTACAGCTGAGTGAAGGATGAGAAATGACGATATAAAGGTACCAAAAAGACCAGATACTGAACAGAAGTCCTGTATTTTTTCCACTTCCTATTCGTAGTACTTATTAGAGATGAAGAGCTTGATCCTGCCTCCAGAGCACATCTTGAAGAGGGGTGACAGTGAGGCAGTAGCATACGCTTTCTTCCATCTGCAGCACTGGAAGAGGGCAGAAGGAGCCTTAAACCTACTACACTGCACCTGGGAGGGCAGTATGTACCTTTCTTTTTATGGTTATTTTTTCAGATGTAAATGTTTTAGTTTCTCATTTGCTTTCTTTCATGTTAGTAAGCTGTCACCCAACCTAGCCTGTACTTTGCAAACACTGTACTAGAAAAGCTACTTCTCTTTTTGGTTTTGAACCTACAGCCTTGCAGGTGTAAAGCTTTACTAGTCAGCTGCCCTGTCTTTTTTTTTTTTATCATTGTCTCATAAATCATTTATTCACAGTACACCCACAAATACGCATTACTATAAGTGGATGAGATCATCACAAGAAGAATATTATTGTTATATTTTATCCGGATGTCAGTATCTTGTATCCAACTTAAATGGTTTACCGAAAATTGCTCCGTATTTGTGTTTTAAATAGCTGCACTCAAGCATAGTTTGTGGTGTGTTATTCATCCAGATTTAATGTCCTGCTTTTCCCCTTCGACTGTATTCTGCAGCTTTCCGAATAATTCCCTACCCACTGGAGAAGGGTCACCTCTTTTACCCGTACCCAGGATGCACAGAAACAGCAGATAGGGAACTACTGCCCTGTAAGTACATTAAATCTACTCAAAACCTCGTCTCTTTAAATCAAAAGTTCATCTGCCCTGCTTGTGATACTGTTTCTCTTTTTGTCTCGATTTTCTCCAGCTTTCCACGAGGTGTCTGTGTACCCAAAGAAAGAGCTTCCCTTCTTCATCCTCTTCACAGCAGGCCTTTGCTCTTTCACTGCCATGCTGGCCATGCTCACACATCAGTTTCCTGAACTAATGGGTGTCTTTGCCAAAGCAGTAAGTGGTATTGCTTGACTTCCCAGTTTCATCTCAAACACGTTCGGTTTGAATTTATAGATTTCTTAATGTTGTCATGAGTTTGACTTCAGGGTTATTGGCTGACCAGTTTTAGCTTTGACCACTGGGTCTCATTTTTTAATGGGTGTTATTGGTAACCCGAACCTCTAAGTTCCTTTGGTAATTGCTGCCTTCTATCACTGTCAGCAACACTGGAGGCTCATGGGAGTCGAAGGCTTGTAAAGTCAGTGTTTATGATAACAAGTTACAGTCTAACTTTAGCTATCAGCGGGAAGAGCTGAAAAACACAAGTTTAAAGCCACAGCAAACATGCAGCCTTAAAGGTTAGAACGTATGGATGCTTGCACTGCTTCATTTTGTGTTTGTGTATTATAGAAGTGTTGTGTTATGTGTTTTAGCCAGTTTGGCAAACTTCTTACTTTGGCTAATCTTTTGTTTATGGTCGGCCTGTTTATTAGGGCCTTTTAGTCTTGAAGCGTGTCTCTGAGAACATCTAGTTCTGTTCCTTTTGTTATGGGAAAGATTGGGTGCAGATTGGACTTTTACAGCCAGTCCGGCTAGTCTGGTTTGTGTAATGTTCAGATGTTCAGATAGAGTGCATGAAAACCAATGAGGGAGGAACACAGAGGTACTCACTGCCTTCTGAGGAAAAACAGATTTCTATGAATCTGCTGCTCTTAAAAGCAGGAAAACGCGGCGGATTTCGGTGGTCGTGACAGTCCGCAAGTTTTTCTTACCTGTGGATCGCCCACTTTTACTAATTGGATTTTAAGTGTATCAAACAAACTTTTAGCACGACCTCATATTGTAATATTTCAGAGGACATCTAACTATTATTATTAGCTAGCATTTAAATGATATGCAAATGTCATATAACATTTTTACTAGATCTAAATTGCATCATAACGTAATTCTTTGTGGCATAGATTCAACAAGGTGCCTGAAACATTCCTCAGAGATTGTGGTCCGCGATGAGATGATAAGATCTCACAGTTTTTGCAGATTTGTTGGCTGCACATTTATGATCTGATTCTCAGCTACATCCCAAAGGTGCTCTACTGGATTGAGATCCGGTGACTGTGGAGGCTATTTTAGTACTGAGACCTCACTGTGATATTAAAGTTTGACATGATTTGAGTTTTGTGAAATAGCGCATTAAGCTGCTGGAAGCAGCCATCGGAAGATGGATAACCTGTGGTCATAAAGAGATGGACGTGGTCAGTGTACATTTAGTAGCTCTGGTTCGAATCCACCCTGAGCCATTTAATGTTCTCTCTCCTCAGCTTTGTCTTCTCACTACTGTCCTATAACAATAAAGCTTCAAAGCTGCCACCAAAAATATACTTAAAAGAGGTTATTATTTCTGCAGTCTTATCTCTATATTATAATAAATTCTGATTGTAGCTTTTTATTATCGTTTGCCTTTTGTTGTTATTGCTCAAATCATACTATCAAAGGTTATTAAGAATCTTTTATTTACTTTTTATGGGTAAGTCTGCAGCTTTTCCCAGCGGCAATAAATACTGTCGTTTATTTACTTTTTTCATTTTTTCACTTGAAGATGGTGAAGCTTTAAGAGTGACTGTTGTTGATACTGTTGTCCGAAAGTGTCTCTCATAAATCACGGATAATATAAAGTTTATAGAGAGACTGCTTAAATGTAGCGATCCATCTGTGATCTTTTCACGAATGCAGTTTGTAAAATGATCAATCTTGGATGATGCTGCTTTCTTGAGGAAATGTACAAATATGTTCAGCCTTTGACTCTGACTGCACCAAACTGTAAACTGTGCTTTGCATTTGCAGCGCTGAATGACTTCAGTGTGATTTATAGGGAGAATCAACTGTACATCCCAGGATATAAAAGTCAGGCTTGTGGAGAATTCTTATATAATTTTCTTTTTCCGTGTATGTTAGGTTGCCATTTTAAAAGGGGTGAGCTAGAGGACAGTAGTTTCTATATACTTTACTTAAATCTGTGTACTTTTCTCACTGTGTGTAACAGCAGTACTTTGTAATCTTTTCTAAATGAGGCTTATTGTACCTCAAAGTACATATATATATAAAAAAACACATAATACATCTTTTAAAAAGTTTTGAAGTCCACTGTTAAATGGACTTCAAAAAGATATGTTATGAAGTAGTAATATTAATTTAAAATGGGAGAAATTTCACAAACCACTGACCGGAAGTCAATTCTGCCTTTTCTTACTTTCAGTTCTTCAGCACGCTCTTTGCACCGCTGGGTTTCTTCGCAGACAAGATGGAAAGCTTCATGCCGTCCAGTTTTTGGCACCAGCTGACTCGGATCTGACCCCGTCTAACACAGACACAATGCATACACACACACACACACACTAATACCACTCCAAACCCTTGAACAAAAAGTGTTTTCTCTCCTGTCTTCAGCATTACTGCCCACTTGCTGCGTTGTTACTGATTACCGTATGTTGGCTGAAGTTGTATCAACACAGTAATACTACTTCTAAGATGCTCTCCCACACTCTTCCAATAGTCAGAGTTTCTCCAAGAACACATTTGGTGAATACCATTTGCAACAGTTTCATAGGGTCATTCACTTTTGTTAGCATGGGGAAATCCAGCATTTTTCAATAATCCAGAGTAAACTCAGATTCAAAAAAAGAAAAATTAAAATTTGGTTTTGCCTGTGTATGGAAGAAAAATGTACATAAAGGGTCTCCTGCCCATTTGCAAAAGAAACCCATATTCTTTTTCTTTGTGTAATCAAAAAGATGCCATTTCAGTGGGCTATATCGACCCTCACACGCATCTAGCGGGCAGATTTAAACGTCTGAGGCCTCTTAAAACAGAGGCAGGATTTATAACCTCAGAGGGACTGCAGTGTATACAATGCCTGTGCAGTTCAACTATTGTCGCTAAGGCTGAATATCTCAGCACTACGTCTCTGGGGTAACCACTGCATCATCAAAATGTAAATAGGATCATCAGCGGTCAGCAATCATACTTAAAGTCACACAGCATAGGCAATTTAACATCTTCAATAACAAAAATTAAAATAATTCTAAATATGCTGTGTAAGGTCAACTTGGGGCAATAACCCTCACGATCTATCATTAGGCAAACATGTCAAGTTGGTCACTTCAACTGCCTGCTGATATGCATTTAGAGTGGGCAGAATTTCCTTTTCCTTACTTTACTAACATTTTGATGACTGTCTGAATTGGTATAATTAAGCTAATGTTTTCTTCTGTGAAAGGTTGTTTTTTTGTATTAAATTAAATATGCTCTATTAGAGCTATACATTGAAAGATTTTATTGAAACATAACAACAGGAAACAAATTTACCTGTTTTTAATTCATAGAAAACTTATACAGGTAATATAGAAAGTTTTAAAAACCACAAATTTACTTAAATAATTTTCTTAAATCTCAGGTATCAGTTTTTTCTCAGATATCCTGACATCACGGTGACAGCTTTCCACCTTACGTGAAAGAAAATGTTATAATAATTTTTAAAAAGTGCCTTTTAGATCATTACATAGCTAAACTACTGTGTAGTGATTAAAAGCCTGTTTGGTATTTATTACACCTGCAGTATGATAGACTCAGTTTGGGAAAAAATGCTTAAAGGGTCATTTTTATAGAAATGTTATATGGAATCAGTATAACAATGAAAAACAAAAGCAAAAAAAAGGGCATGCTGGTTATTATGCAAGGGAACACACAAACACATCATTCAGACCTTCTCCAAACTCTGACTACTTAGACTGCATACCTTGATCTTAAGTATTTGTCTATTTAAATGTGTGACACACAGAGGATCTTTAGTGTGCAGCTGAAATGTAACAGTATGCTGAAGACAGGAGGATCTGTGAACAACTGTAACTACGCGTGGATGAGTTTGAAAGCAAAACAAAATAAATTAGTCTTTCATTGACCTTTCTGTGCTTTTGTCATATTTCTGATTTGAGTTTGTTGCAAAAGGCCCCAGATTTACCCTGTTAAAGGCAAAGTCGGTGTTTCCTATAAGCAGTGTTGGGGAGTAACGGAATACATGTACCGCCGTTACGTATTTAAAATACAAAATATGAGTAACTGTATTCCGTTACAG